TATAGCCACTTTTATTAAGTCTCCCACTTCAGACCAACCATTTTGTCCGTCCTCGATATCACCTCCTCTGCTTGGTTCAACTTGGCACGCATCCTCTCACTATCTGCAACACTTTTCTCCTCCTTCGAACGGGAGACTTCATAAGCAGCCTCAAATTTTAACAGCTTTATCTCCAGCCCCTGAAGCTGTTCGGCTTGTCGCTGGCCAGCTTCTGCCGAGGCAGCCGATTCTCGAAGCAGAATGCCACGCAGCTCTGTAAAATTTGAACTGTGCAGATCAAGCAGATCAGACGTAGAAGCGGTGTGTTCCTTGAGTATAGAAAGTTCCCTCTGTATTATTAACAGGATCAGAAAAGAGAACTAACTCTTACTTGCATGCCTACATTTGTTTATACTTTAATGAGTAAAAGCTTATCAAACAAATGACAGATATCAAGAAGTGGTCATATATATCGAAGGTATGGCTAGAAGATTCCCTTTAGGCTTGCTGCATTTTTTGATTCCCGAAGTGTTCCAGCAACAATTGCATTATCATGTTCCAAAATTCCATAGTTAAGAAGGGAGATCGTAGAGATCTTTATAGGCTGTTCATCGGCAACTCACTCAGTTGGCATCAATTGTCTATTGTAGAAAAACACGGTGAATTTTACTGACAGCAAATTAGAATCCCACTGATGGCGAATATTGTAAGCAAAAGTGGGATAAAAAACCACGCTTTGTCTATTTATTTTCATCTTGCTAAGTGCCTTGATTGCTTTTATATGAACTTGCATTAGGGGTAAGTATGAAGAACAAGATATTTTGACCTCTGTTTTGTTGTTAGTCTCATTTAGCTATATCGAAGTCGTTTGAAATCGTTTTCCCAACTTAATCGTGTTGTCCGAGTAATCTTTTGGATGTACTTTATCCAAAGTTCTCTGCTATAGTAGTCATTATAATTCTCACGGCCAGATTGTGGACTTGGCATATTCCCAGAAGATTCGCCGGTATTATAGTCAGCATCATCAATGAGTCTTGCAATTCCTAGCACTTGTAGTCGTAGCTGGATGCTAAAAGTGGCAAAACTCGATTCCGGCTAAGGTCTGCAAATATGCCAAGTCCACGGTTCGACACAGAGGACTTTAGACAAAAAGAGTTCAACATATCGCCCTGAAAACAAGATAAATTTGCTTTTGGGCTCAATTGTTTTATATATAGGGGATTACTCTTTTGAAATAACTTTCTTGTTGTGGAGACTTCCATTTTGTATGAAAGGGCATGATGAAGAGATTCATAGCTTAATCTCACTAGAAGACGACCGCAGCCATTTGGCTTTAATCAAGACAATCAATCGAGGCAGGCTACGAGACAGTTTAGGAGAAAGGATGTGTCATGTACGTCGTATTGTGCCAAACGACTCCAGTACAACGAGAATCGATCGTCGTTTTCTAGTGAGATCGACTTACTAGTCTCTACATCATCCACTTTCATTTATTTTATACATGAAGACAAGACTTTCCATTCTTAAGGAAAAGTTGGTTGGAATAAATTCGTGAATTGGTCTTACCGGAAACCGAAAGAAGATTGCTGCAGAATGAAGATTATTGGATTAGGCGAGAAAGCCTCGGCTCACCGTCCTGCGACTCCGATGAATCCGTGCTGTTTTTGTCTGTCATATGGCTTTACGAAATAGTGCATCATTACAATATACTAAGATAATAATTGGCCGTTTACAAATCCAATAGCCTCTAATGCCTAATTTCGCGATCTTAATGTAAGAAAACAGCTACAACCGCATTTACTTCCTGCTCATTAATTAACTTTACCCATCTGAAAGCATGTAGAATAAGCATGAAGTAGCCAAGCTAAACATGAAATGCCTTACTAAGAGTTACTGGGTTTGCAACTGGCCAAAATGCACTAGAAATCCACTTGAGATGCCGCATGCGACCAGAGAAAGGCGTCCACAGTTTGCTCAAATAATAATGGGTTTAATGAAGGAGAGGACTCGTGAAGGGAAGGCCTGATAACTGCAAGCATGGCAATGAGAGCTTAAGTGCTCCGCTCA